TTTTCCCGTCGTCAGTTGTGTTCGGACTAGACGTACGAATGACACGAGCGACTCTTGCTTAACCCCCAACGATAACGCGGAGAGAGAACACAAGTTGAGACAACAGTCCGAGTGTATTTATTTGATTAAATTTCGATACACAAATGTGTAAAACAAGTGACGCCTACGAGAACGGCGCAGTGACGCACCAATCAGATCGCGTCCTTGACATAACGATTGATCGATCTGACACGTTCTATGACCATCCAATCAGGTTCAGCCTTTCTGGAGCGTTGTGAGCGTGCGTGTGGCCTGACTCGGAGGCGTGCGCGATCGGACGGGTTGCTTAGGCTCCGTCCCAACAGAATGGACACCGTTTCTTCTTTGCCGCTTGGAAGTCTGACTTGGGCGTACCTTGGATTACATTCAATCAACTCTACCTCGTCAACCAGTGGCTCGTACTTTGATACTCAAGGGAGGCGCTTCATTAAAACCGGTCCACGAACAGTCAACCAACTTGGCAGTGATTCGCCAGATGTTGACTTGCGATTATACCTAAACAGACGTTCATGAAGGGACTGGTTTGTAGCGGTACACAAGAGGGAACGAGGAGAATGTAAGACATCAGGAAAAAGAACTCCCCAATCACTGTAAGACAAAGATGTCGAGTTGGCGGCTAGGGTGATTGCACGCCAAAGTGTACCGTTGAATCGCTCAACCTGTCCATTACTTTGAGGGTTGTATGCGGTGGTTCGGTCAGTTACGATTCCTTTAGCATGAAGGAAACGTTTAAGTTCATCTGACACGAATGAGGAACCCTGGTCGGTGTTAATGTGAGGTGTACCAAATACAGAAAATAATTGACAGAGGTGATTGATAACAGTAGTAGTTGTCATATCGATACACGGAAATGCAAGCGGAAATCGCGAATATTCATCAATTATTGTGAGTAAATATTTGTTGCGTGTATGTAATGGTATTGGTTTCTTGAAATCCATATTTAACCTGTCAAATGGGGCAGTAACCTTGATAAGGTTCCCGATGGGCAGTTTGCAAAATTTCGGTTTTGATTCGGAGCACACCGTACATTGGGCGATTGGTCTTTTTTACGCCTTATGCGGAATAAGGTAGATTTCGGGATCTCATAAAATGAAAAAGACGCACGACACCAGGACGGCATAGAGAATTGTGAAGTTACTTTAAGGACACGGTAGTCAATGTGGATGTGATGTGCACGCGAGAGTGTCAGCAACTACGTTCTCTTCACCTGAATGATATGATACGTCGAAGCTGTGGCAAGATAGTTTGATTCTCCAGCGCTATATTCTCTTGTTTTTCACTTTCCCTCGCTGCTGTTTGTTATATATGAATGCGATTGACCTCCGATCAGTGATTATAAGAAAATGTGAACCAATTAGGTAATGCCGCCATTTTCGAGCTGCCTCGAAAATAGCACAGGCTTCTCTCTCGACGGAAGAGTGACGCTATTCGAAAGGTGTTAGTGTTGGTGAGAAAAACGTAACTTGTCTCCCGTTCTGCGATAGTATAGCGGCTATTGCTATATCTGAAGCATCGGTTTCGGGCACCAGAGGAGTGTGAGGATCGACGGTTGTCATCACAGCTCTAGGTAGTTCATTTTTCAGAACATCATACGCACCTGTGACTCTTATTGGCAGCGGAGATGTGTTTTTGTTGACCAGAGGGTTAATCTTGTCAGATAAATGAGATGTCCACTGAGGGTAATACGCGAATAACCCAGTAACCCGTTGCATCGATTTTTGATCTCAAAGAGGCTCCAGCAGGGGTCGTAGACGATCCGGGTCGGGTTTAATGGATCTATGAGACTTCGTATCCCAGTATCGCGATTTTGTCTGCGTTGATGATGCTTTTAGCGTCATTAAAGGTGAAGAGTTATTTTGGAGCAACCTCGTGGAAACGATCCAAGTTTCTCCGATGCTCTTGCTCAGAGGAACCACGTACCGTGATATTATCTAAATGGGCAAAAGTCGCTTCCAGTTTCTCGTTCCCAATGATTTGATCGATAACTTGTTGGAAAAAAGAAACTATTGGTGATGCCGAAAGGAATCCGACAGAACTAATACAAATCGCCACCCGCTTCGAATGCCATATTTGTTTTGTCCACGTCCCTTAAGGGTATCTGGTGGTACGCGCTCTTCTAGTCCAGTGTACTGAAGGTCGTATATCGTGAGATTTTCTCTACCATTTCATGCATCTTGGGTAGGGGGTAGGCATCCAGGAGAGTGAAGCAGCTTACAGTCTGTAGTCGACTACCATTCTGCGTTTTTGACGTTCGTTGGTAGTAACAAGCACGGGCACGCCAAGGAGAATGCGAAAGTTCTATGGTGCCATCTCTTAGCAATTTTTGCAATTCCGTTTCGATGAACAGCTCATCAGAGGGTGAATGCCTCCGAGACTTGGTTGCAACTGGAGCGTTCGTTTGTCGTTTCTAGGTCAAGTGCTCGGTTCTCCAAGAGGCGTTGGCGGATGCTTCTGGACTGCATTCCACTGATAAAAGCACCTCGTATGGCGTTGTTTTGGTTTTGTTCGATCGTGACGGCTATGAAGTTGCAATCTTCCGCAAGTGATTTCAGCTTTTGCATAAACTGATCAAGACTCTGACCTGCCTCCTGTTTTTCTGGTGGATAGTATGTGTCGAGCGGAAACCTCATTCTTCGTCACAGCGGATTGAAAACGTTTCACTCTCAGCAATATACTCATAAACGGTGGGAGAAACACATTCAATGAGGTGTTCCAGCTTTTCGTCCTCTGATTTCGTCGCTCTGGCGATACGCAAGGTGAATGTGCGAAGCCAATGACTCCAAACTTTCGCTGCTGAGGGACAACTTGGATCCGCGTCGATGCGCCGATCCATTGTTTGGACGAAAAAATTGTTATATTCTGAATACGAGTCGGTATTTGCTCGAGAGAGAGAAGACTGAGAGCCAGGAGATGTAAGGCTTTATTTGTCTCACAACTCTGGCATATAAGCTGAAACGTATATAAAAGAGAAATGTTGGGAATACAGCGATATGCAATAGATAAAGAATGTGATATATGACAAATTTTGTTATCTCTTCTGACGGGGGCATCACGCATGAAGTGTCGTATGCACACGTTGAAGGCGCGATTGTTGGTGTTTCGTTTTAGGAGAGACGAGTTAAATAGATCATTCGCAAAGCTGTTGCATCTCTCGAACTTGTTTCTCTTGTTACTATTCATCATCCAGTTTGAATTCCTCTGATAAAATCTGAATATTTCGGTTAACGATGCTTTTGCTTCATCTTTCAATTACTTTTCACTTGTATCTTAGATGAATCATTGACCGTATCTCCCTAAAACTTTCAACCATGCTCGAAGCCGTGATACTGTATTTTCGATTGATTCTACTGATTACCATCAAATTCGCGTGTCGTATAGCAGCATGGTCCATAACTCTTCCAAGATTCGGTTTCGATCTGACAGTCCGTATGAGTAAGTAACCATTCCTTTGATAAATAATTATTTCATGAACAGTGGAGAGTTTCTTCTCTTCGCTATCAATGGTCGTTGGTTCGTCCAGTTCATCTCCCGGTGAGAAAATTAAGCTAGGCGTGGCCATTCTCACACGTTTTCCAATCACCGAGCGAGCGACCGCTGGCAGGACTGGAGTTTTGGACAATTTACAAGCTTCTTTGAAGGGTGCTACTCTGTTAGAGCGGGTTTTAGGGGAAATAACCGCATCAGCGGTTTTACAATGGTTTGAACAAATCTCATCTAGTTTCGGGTCTCCACGGATTCTGCCAAAAATACAGATGTTTTTGGTTTATCGAATGAACTATACCAGCGTATTTTCACTTTCCGGTTGGTTTTCCGTTCTTCCGAACCATTTGCTGAACAATTCCACGCTAGTGAAGAAACCAGGCGAATTCGAAGTAAGTCGTGTGTTTCGTGTATAATTGTATGACCTTGCACAAGTACAGCGTCCGATGTTTACTTCGGCTTTTGATCGATTTTATTGATGTAATATCGGCTTGTTCGCTAAAGGTCAAGGGACTACTGTAGTCATTCAACCAGTCTTACACTGTAATACAAAGTTATAACGATAGATCTCACAGTAGTGCCACAGTTTTTCGGGGCAATAAAACAAACTGCACGTGAAATTTCATAAACAAGACCGGCATTAAATCATTTGTTCAGTGTTCTCAGTACTCTCATTGCATGTGCAGTATACACGCTCAAAAATGGGTATTGGAAAATTTCCAGTTGGTAGTGTGTTTGAGCAGGATAGAAACCTCGCCATGCAGGATGCATCTCTATGTGAATTGCCAGGCTTTTCGACGTGTAACTTCTTTCGATCTCTAGTGAATATGTCTCTCATACAACCAACACACAACCAGCTTGGATACTGTCCTTGTGCGGTAACAGCAGTGTTTGCTGATGCCACTTCACTTCTTAACCTTCGTCTCGATCGTGCACTCCCGATAAGTGTTTTGCATCTCTGTGGATTTTTGAATTATCGTTAATCCCAGATGCACGATCATCACCGTTTCTCGTAATGTGGACGGTAGCTAAACGAAAGGTCGAAATATGAAATTTCATCAAACTATCTTTTATCTTAAAGAAACAGTCAGAAATATTGTAACCGCAACACAGGTATTCTATACACTAGACTTCCCACATCTAACTCGGTTAAAAGTGGGTGTGTGAGTCCTCCCACGTTTGCACATAGGCATGGCAACTGGCACCTGTTTATATTCAGACTGGTGTAAGCCACAGTAATGTGACTCCCTAGTGACAGTGGTAAGAGGCTCACGTCAGTTTTACTGACTTTGAAGGAGCAGAGACGTCAAAGGAGGTTACACTACTATCATCTATGTCGCATTGGTACAGACGTACTAATAGAAATAAATACAGAAGTTGAACAGTTGGTAAGATTAGTGTCGGCCCAAGCGATATATATATATATATATGATAATAAGTAGTATGTGAATG